AGGACGGCGCGGACGCCGGATTTGCCGGAGCGGGGGAGGGCCGAGGGCTGAAACCGCCTGGGAGGAGAAGTCGGCATCGGACCGGGATGCTGAGGAGCGGCGTGAGGCCCGGGCACCCGGGACATCCTTCCCAGGCTGGGAGCGACGCGCTGGGGCAGCCCCGGCTCCGCGTGTGCGCGGCTGCAGCAGCTCCAGCGAGCGGTTCCTCGGGGATTGGTACCAACGGCCGGGAGCAGGGCTGGAAGAACGTCCGCGGGTCCGAGTTCCCTGCGCGCTGTGCCGGTTTCCCGCAGAGCTCGTCCCCGAGCAGCGCTGGGAGCCGTCGCCTCCGTTCGCGAGGGCTCCGGGAAGCGGAGGCGGCTCCGTGTTGTGTCACCCGGAGGCTGCAGCGCTGTGGCAGGGACGAAAAGATAAAGGGAAACGGCAGGCTAAAGGGAAACGGCAGCTTGTTCTGTACGGGCGAAACGTGTCTCAGGTTTATCTGCAGGAAAATTACATTTAGGCCCTTAAAAATGTTACCCGGTGAGCCCTCTATGAACATGTTGAGATTACGTAAATTAATGGTATTTCATAACGCTGACCTTAAGTTACAGCTTTTTAGCGCAAAACTTAGTTTAACTGTTAATTGAAACAGGGAAACGGCAGCTTGTTCTGTACGGGCGAAACGTGTCTCAGGTTTATCTGCAGGAAAATTACATTTAGGCCCTTAAAAATGTTACCCGGTGAGCCCTCTATGAACATGTTGAGATTACGTAAATTAATGGTATTTCATAACGCTGACCTTAAGTTACAGCTTTTTAGCGCAAAACTTAGTTTAACTGTTAATTGAAACAGTAGATTAATTACTGTCCTGATGAGAAGGAAAAAGAAACTTACTTTATGCTTTCCAGAAGCCATTTTGGATTAGAAGTTGGCTGGAGTCCTGAACTGAAACTCAAGGTCTCCATGTTTCCTTGATTTTTTTTTTCATTGAAATCGCATCACAGAATAAATAAAGCACGGGCTCAAATCCAGAACCCACTGGGATCAATAAAAACTTCTCCTTGTCCCTTGCATCTGGGTGTTTTTATATGTAAATAATTTATAAAAGTGTCTGCTTTGTTGTTCTATTTATGGAGTAACTAAAACATACTACTCGTTCTTATCCTACAGGTGAGGAAAGCTTAATTCTTCTAGATGGAAGACACGAATTTCCGTTCAGCTTTCAACTCCCTCAAGAGTAAGTTAAATAATCCAGCCTAAGGGGATTGTGCTGGACGCTGCTCGTTGTGGAACATGAACTTGATGTAGTTTGACTTGGGGTGTTTTAATATCAGACCGGTAGGTCAGCTTTGTGTGTTTGTCTTAATCAACCACCACAGAGCCATGCCTTGTGTGCCTCAGTTTCCCTGAGGCCCTGAAAGCACAAGCTGTAAATGGATGAACGTTTACATACACAGGAAGCATTCGTGTTTGGAACTGAGTTATAAACCTACGGTAACGCTGCTCTGACGGCTCGTTTCAGACCTCTGGTGACCTCTTTTACTGGGAAGTATGGCAGTATTCAGTACTACGTGAAAGCAATTCTGGAGAGGCCTGCAGCGCCCGATCAAAGCGTACAGACAGAGCTTCAGGTCATTAGCCATATCGACATCAGCTCACCAGCTCTACTGGTAAGAGGGTCCTGTGCTCCTCCTCCCCCCTATAAAGCCAGCTGCAAAAAAAATAATTTCCAAGAAGCATTCACATCCAGCCATAACCATTTCCATGTTATTCTGGAGTGTCATTTTGTGACTTCTGAAAGCATATAAGCTCCCTAAGCTTTTCTCTATAAATAGATGATCTTAGGTTGTGTGAATAGCAAATAGAGTGGCTTTTTTTAATACCATTGATTACATCCCTGCTGGCAGAGATGCTCTTGCCAAAAAGTTACGCAGGCTTCAGATGCATAAATAAGGCTTAATAATAATAATGCACAAGCATAAAGTAGTTACTCTTACCAGAGCAACTACATTCACAGGGCTGCAGTGTCCTAAACTCTACAATAATAGTAGGTTGAGGAACAGTAATTACAGAAGAGTATTAATCATGCCCAGCCTGTCATTTATGCTCTGGCCATTATGTTACGTATCGTTCCATTTTGCATGTCGTTTTCTAACATTAAGAGCGTGCGTGCAGCTGCTTCAGAGATCTTTTCAGTTCTTTCCTTCTGACAGATTTGGCCACATTAAAGCATTGAGTTTCTAATAATCGCTAGAAATACTGTAGAGTAATAAGAAAGATCAGGCATTAAGCAATGAGAAAATAGGCAAGATGGAAGCTAATGAGCTGGATTCTTTTATCTCTACCCATATTATGAAAATAGTATGAAATTATACCTTGCACTTTCATGATAGCAACTAGATCTAAATGGTTATTCATTTAAATATGAATGAGTAATTTCTATTTTATTTAAAATGCTAGGATAATTTTAACATTTCATCATGATGTGAACATAGCTAAGAGATGTTTTGAGCAGGACTTTTTCTTCTTTATATGCTTACATTTTAATCTTTGGAGGGAACTTACAGAAGTATTTTGGCAGTGATCTGTAAGCAGAACGTAGTCTCTTTATTTGACAGTGTATGTCAGAGGAGTATGAAGGCAGCATATCCAGATACTGCAAGGATAGAGCAGGCCAAGGTCACTGCACAGGAGAGGGCTGTGGAGCACATGAAGCAGGCAGTGCCTGTCATAACGGATTCCAAGGCTGCCACCAAAACAGTGCAAAACACCACAAATTGCAAGTGATTAAAAGCATTATGCCATAAAATGAAAAATACTCTATATTTTACAGACACCTGTTCTAAGAAGTCAGGAGAAGATGGTTGGCTGTTGGTTTTTCACCTCTGGGCCAGTGTCTCTCAGTGCCAAAATTGAGAGGAAGGGATACTGTAATGGTAAGAGTAGTTGCCTTCAAAATGTGAATATTAAACATCTATTACTTTGGGTTTTTTTCATCTCTGTGAAGCCAACACTTGAAAGAAAAGTTCCATTTAGTAGGTAGTAAATTGAGATCTATATGAACTGGCTTTAACAAGAATAATCTTGCCTTGCCCCTTGGGAATATAAATTGAAAGAAAGTCCTGTTAGTATTTGTATGGAAAAGCTGTTTACATTAGAGTGTAAAGAACAACAAAATGCTTTTATTTAGGAAAAAATACTTAAAAACTTGATTACATCCTCAATTATGTCCTGCTTGTGTAGGTTTACACTTCCGTAGGAATGAGCTTCAGTGGCTTCTTTGTCACCTTGGTAACATGGGATACATTGAAGAAATACAACATTTTGGAATTCAGTTAGTACTATATGAAAGGAAGATTGGCGTGTAATTTGGAAATAAAGCTTTTATAGCTTGTTCATATTATGGTTAATGTTTCAAAATGAACCATTGTTTACACATAAAATGTAGTAGGTGGCTATAATTCTGCCTGGATACCACTCTGCAAAGCAAAAGAAAAACCCCCAAAAAACAACCCCAGCTTAAGGAAACTAACAAGTATTGTTCTCATAACATGGGAGATGATGTACGTGCTGCATAACATGCTTTGATACTCCCAGAGGAAAGTTGGTAAATACAAATCATTCATTGAACTTTTTGTGTCTTTAAGGGGAAGCCATACCAATCTATGCAGAAATTGAGAACTGCTCTTCTCGATTGATTGTTCCAAAAGCTGCCATTTTCCAAACACAAACTTACCTGGCCAGTGGGAAGACAAAAACTTTCCGTCAGATGGTTGCCAATGTCCGAGGAAACCATATTGCCTCTGGGAGTACAGACACCTGGAATGGGAAAACTCTGAAAATCCCACCTGTATCCCCCTCTATACTTGACTGCTGTATTATTAGAGTAGAATATTCGTTAGCTGTAAGTATGGATTTTTGTTAAAAATGTACATACTCTTGAATACTGCACTGAGCTAGGAACAGAATAATTCACTGAGCAGCTATTAGATTCTGAATTTGGGAACAACAATAAACAACGTAGAACGTATATTTGAGAGACTGCAAGATCATGAGGAGATTCTGAAATGGAAAGATAGGAATAATGGAGCAAATGGAAGAATGTTTCTGAGGAAGAAGCACCTTAGTTTGTGGCCTGTGGAGGTTACCAGGGGAAAGTAGTTCAAGCTGAATGGGTTCCAGTCATTCCCCTCAGAAATAGGAAGGTAGGACTGGAAGTCAAGTGCATAATTATTTTTGTCAACCTGTTGTGTATGTTTTTAATGTCATCTAGAGACAAGGTACAGAAAGGAGGAAGTTGCTGAAAAATAGTGAAGACTGCCAGGAGTATTAGCTAAACATTTCTGGGATGAGAAAAATACTAATTTTTAAACAATCTGTGGTATAGGGAGTAGAGTAGTTCCTAGGAGCAGCAATTCAATGGGATCTCATGATGTCTTTCTTTTATTTGGCGGTTGTCACATAGGTGTATATCCATATTCCTGGTGCTAAGAAATTGATGACTGAAATGCCTCTGGTGATTGGCACTATTCCATGTATTGGATTTTCAAGCAGAAACTCCAGCATTACCAGCCAGTTCAGCATGGATATGAGTTGGCTGGCATTGACCATGCCAGAACACCCTGAAGGTAATCCGTATCGAGCTCTTTATGATACAGCATGGTACTGTCTGCAGCAGGAGGACAGTAGTGCCAGTCTAAGGGCACTACTAGGGATGTAGGCCATTAAACTATGACTCATGAGAAGCGAGGCACATAAATCTAAATCAAGATCTGAAAGGATTGGGGAGGATACCCTAACTCCAGCCTTTTTAAGTCTCTCTTTACCCCATCTGACTACTCCCAGCTGAATCTTGAAATGACTAACTTCTTACAGTGGGAATTCTGCTTTGGGGATAGACACCTTAAAGTTCATCATTACATGTCTTGATACAGCACGTTAGTCACTGGAGTAGCCCTAAAAGCTAAAAAAACTGAATCACCTGTGCCTGCAAAAAACGTAGTTACAGTATTTATTGAGTATATTGTACTTCCTACATGAATTTGGCAATAGTACCATCTTCAACAAATACAGTCTTAATGGTCTTGGATAGTGTAATACATACGTTGTCTTGCTGGGAGTGAACAGTTTGAAATTTGATAGTAGCATCTCTTGTGTTTCAGCACCACCAAATTACGCTGATGTAGTGTCTGAGGAAGAGTTCTCCAGACATGTTCCTGCTTATCCACCACCAATTGACTGTGAGGAACAATTGTGTTGTCCTGTCTTTGCTTACATACAAGAGTTCCGGTTTCAGCCTCCACCTCTTTATTCAGAGGTAAAAAAATAAACAGCAGGTGGTGGTTTTATTGTCAGATGGCAAAAAAAAAAAACCACATATTGAAATGCAAGAATTGCAGGCAGTAATTGTTGCCTCTCTTCTCTCTGTAGATCGACCCACATCCAACTGATGTAGAAGAAATTCAGCCCGTTTCGTTCATGCTCTGAAGAGGATTTGTAATGAGCACCATTGTGATGAATGTCTTAATTTTTCTGCTGCTTAAGCTGATAGTGCAGCTAAAACGGAAACAGTTTTCTTTTTCAAAACTTAAGTCTGTGTACAAGAAAGGCAAAGGAAAATGGAGAGGGAGGTATGAGCATGTTTGGTGATGAAAGAGAATCTGCTGGATTAGTCTGCACAGAGGATATTGTGGGAGCAGCTATGCTTGGGATACTTGAGAAGTCTCTGCAAAAACGGAATGCTTTCTAAAAAGTGGATATACTACATAAAGTACGCAGAGATGTAAGGATCTGCTGAAGAGAAAAGAATATGTATTTTGCTTGGAACATTTTGGAAGAATTTATGTAACGATGTTGAGAACTTCTGTAGGAGAACAGAACGTGGGGTAAGAAACATTTCCAAAAGATTCCAGTGTTCAAGGGGCTTCAGTTTTGCACTGCCTGCATCCAAGAAAGGAACACTACTAAAACATGAAGTCTTCGCTCCACCTTAACTTTGTATTTCATGGGAATCTGCCCTTCTAACAACTGCCAAGTGGTACTATTTCATCATTCATAATGATTCTAAAGAATCACGGATGACAGAATAGCTATTACGCAATATTATGAAGGCAACCATTTTCTGAATGAAAGACACAAGTATGTAAAAGAAAATTGAACTTTGACAAGAGCTTATGCACTATGCTTTCTTTCAAGGGATTTCTTAAGGGAATTATTCCAGCCTCTTCTACTGTGAGTTCTTTCTCTGCATCTTAAGCCTATGGATAGCATGGTAGGGGGAAGCATGGCAAGGGAGAATCCTTTTGCCAGCAGCAGGTATACTTAGCAAAATGGACAATACTTATTTATTCAGAAGCCTTTATAAGCCTACCTCTGTTTTGGATATTTACTTACGGTCAGATTTGAGACCAAAAAAAAGTCTTGTTGAAGCTCCAGTGTACTTCAAGGTTCTAAAAGGGACCCTAAATGGTTTCTGTGGTTAGTGACTGAGATAGGAGGCGTAGGGAGAGGTGTAAATATACCCAGAATAGACATAGCTTATAACTGAAGTGAAAGCAGACATCAGGGGAACAAAATCCTCTGGTAATGGCACAAAGCTTTTCATTACTCCTGCATTTTTGTCTAGAGATCTATTGTCAGGGGCTGCACTGGTCATCTGCTATCCATACTGTTTTTTGTTTGTGTGTTTCCTGTTTGTTTGTGCTGTTTAATTTTGTTTTGGTGCAATATTTTAATGTTTTCTTCCTCAGGTCATTTATAACAGTGAGAGTTTGTTGCTGCTAAGAGTGAAGGCACAGCATTTTACTTGGCCCTTCTGCTGCCTTCATTTAAAGTAGAATGTTTGCTTCCTGCCAAGCATTAATTGGAATAAGTAAGCCACCACCAACAGATCCCTTAAAGGAGCAGAAACACAGCGTTCTCCATACACACGTTTACAGTTGAGTCTTTAAACTACGGGGGATTGTGAACTGCTAGAACTACTCCATGTGTCTTACAGAAGGGTTTGGGGTCAAAACCCGGTGCTTCGCCTGGTGAATGAAACATTCTGGTAACTACAAGAACAGCAATTAGAGTTTCTTTCATTTCATCAATAACTGCAGTTTTAAAAAGTTAAAATTGTTTTATGGAATCTGTCTTCATTTAAGAAGCAGGGATTTTTCTACAGGCATACACGGATATATATTTTTAGTCATCTCTTACTACAACTTCCTTACATTGTCTGATTTCTAGCACTTCACCTCACGTTACTTGTACATCCATGTAAAGACAGACCGATTGTTGTTTTCAAACTGCAGTTACTCTTTTGGTTTGCAACTTTTTGTATTGTCTTCTAGAGCAAATGCAGCTTTAACCAAAACTGGAGTGCATGTTTTGGAAAGTCTCAAGATGTAGCTCTCATGCCTCTTTACCGAAGTGGTGGCATGCCCACACAATCCATGTGGGATTTTCATTCACAGCACCTGGAAAGAGAACAAGCATATTTTCCTTAAACAGATACCATTATAGTTACTTGACAAGTAATGTGGCTGTGTATTAACTTGCATGTTAATAATTCAAAATACTATCTTAAAGAATATTAGGTGCTTTTTTGGGACTGTAATACCTGATAGGTGATGTGTGCTGCCCGGTATAAACATGGTCAAGCAAACAAGAGCATGAAGGGTAAAGATGTGCTTTTTTTTTTCCTTCCTAAAATCTTTGAGTTGTTTTTTTATTATTTGCAGATAAACTGTGGCCTTAGATTGTTTGCTGCAAAAAAAGACAAACAACTAGAATGTGTTTCTTAGGAAGCACAGACGGCCCCTCAAAAGAGGGGTGAAAACAAGATTAAATTCTGCTCTCTGACACTTGGCTTAGTGCAGAAATTGATCCTTAAAATAATTACTGTTTGCACAATAATAAGTTCAATATGCAGGGGCTTTGTTTTGATAACTGTGAAACAGTTTAAAAGAGACAAAATAAAAAAAAAATGCTGTTTAACATACAGGAACATGATTGTATTTTGTACTAATGAATTGAGCCCCATGGGTTCTTTGTTAATAAAAGTGTCAAACCTACGTATTGCTGTTCATCTCTGTTTTGGGGTCTCCAAGACAAATGGCTGCCAGGTCAAGAAATACCTGTGTTCTGTCAAATACCCAGTTCTGTTCTGATCTGGGACCTTTGCCTTCCTCCATCACTGCTTTAGTTGCCTGAACTCTCTATAATCAGGAACTGGAACAAATGTATCGAACGTGGCCTGCTCCCACCTATAGTTATTATGTAATATACAGGACTTGATCATGGGAATCTTACCTGTTAACGATGGAAGTGGCAGTCTGTGTGCTCTAATTGGATTTCTCATCTCCTGTATTAATCTTACAGGATATTTTACTGTGTTTCCTTTAGACAAGATTATCTTTACTGTGTAGTTTATTGTTCTAAATGCATCAGAACAACCTTACAACCATACTACAGAATGACTAAAGCAGAGTAACCCCTGCCATGGGGAACAGCTGACAAACTGTATTGAATCGTGTCTGCTGCATAGCTCACCTAAGCCATAAAGGAGATGAAGAAATCTCTGCCAGGGTCCTGCCTCCCAAAGATTTGAGGAACAACAAACAACAGCTGATTTGTTCTTCCTGTTTGCAGTTTTGAGGGACGACAACAAACCTCTCCTTGGAAAATCCAAGTGAAGATGCTGTTCAGAATCACGTGTTCAAGCAGAGGGGCTTACAGAAGGGGTCAGGACTCAGAAAGGAAAATGTAAAACCTTAAATTCTGATCTTAGATTTCTGAAAGGTCTCTTACTGAATGAGCCTAAAATCCTGTCACTGTGTTCACAGCAGCAATTCCACTTTATCCACAGTTAAGTTTTATAGGGGACTATTTCTCCTGACAAACAGTCCCTGCCTATCAGAATACGTTCAGTGTTTAAACAGGTAGTAAACGATGTGTTCTGCTCCACAGGGACAGAGCAGCTACTGCAGGCTTGTGTTTGCAGCTCTGATACTTGCCATGTTTCCATTGAAACACATCAACACATCAAACTATCAGGTTCCATTACTTGGCCTAATTTGAACAGCAAAAGGGAATATCTAACTTGTTTTGTAAAATCTCTACTCTAGATATCAGTAAAGAACTGTTTGGAGAGCACAGTTTGCCCGCAAAGTTGATCTGAAGATAAGCAATTGCTCTACTACCCCCCCCCCAAAAAAAAACCCACGGCACAAATGCCTTCTTTCTAGTGAAATTCTGCTCATTTTGAGTACTCTCTTTAGGGCAGTGAGTGAGCACAGGGACACAGACAGCAGCTTTCAGACTGCTGCATTTTCTAAAGCTGATTATATAATATGTTAACATGGAGACAGTACAGGCTACTCCACAACCTCTAAATAACTAATTAGGCCTATAACGAACCTGGTCATTCACTTTTAATACGGAAATGTTATATGTACGATAGGGTGACAGTCTTGTTCCAAATTATGTAGTGGTCATCATTTCTGAGAGGTCAATATGAAACGATACTACACAAAAGCTGTACTAGAACTTCACCACATTATTGGCATTTTAGGACAACTGACTCACAGCAAGTCAAAAAACATCCAGCACAGTTTTACGTGGAATGCAAAATGGCAGCTCAAGTATGACTTCACTGGAGTAGCTGCTTATGCCAGCAACGTGCGGTGGGCCTTAGTTACACGGGACAGACTCTATCTCATTAAGCACAACTGTCTTACTGATAAATCTCTGAGCACCCGTCAAAAGAAAAGGAAATCCTCCTTCGTTTTGGCCCACAGTCAACCATCTGGCTGCCTGTGGGGTGAGGAGAACATGAAACGCAAGGTGAAAGTCAGAGCAAGTGCTGGTGCTTGGCAGACACCTACGAACACATTGCCTCAAACAACGTGAGGAACGCAGAGCAGCCCAAAACATCTACAACAAACGCACAAGATATTTGCTGTGTCAATTGATGGCAGTTTCTTACTATTTGTGGTCTCAACAAGTGACTGTGCTCAGACTAAGGACACCCAAGTGAAGTATCATGTCAGGCGTATTTTGACTTGGCACCTGAGAGCACCTAACAAAAATCATCACCCAAACGACATCAGACCAGCCCTTCTGCTTTGCTTCTAGCTGTACAGCGTCCCAGACCTGCGTGGACACCCTTGCCCTGCACTCCCCTCTCCAGCAAAACTGCTCACTGATACACAAGACTTGTAGCACTCAGCTGGAAGTCTCCGTAGGCTCACACCGATGGGGAGAGCAGCACAAAGACATTTATAGCCTGATTAAACAGAATAAAAACAGAGTTAAAAATGGTTGGCAGTCATTGATGTGGGGCTTGTGGGATGGAAGCTGGACAAGTGGAGAAATGGGGCAGGTATGGAGAGGAGAAGTAGTTGGTGTCGGGCAGAGGACACGGACACAGCAGCAAGCACTCAGCACCAAAACCAGCCACTCACCCCCAGCTCCCTTTACTGGCAGGACCTGGGCTCAGGCGTGGTGACACACAACGTGCACAGGCAGGACGCGGATACGCAGGCTAAACCCAGCCAAATATTTCTGCCTGTGAAAAAACTCTCGTTATTTCACAGCGCCTTGGAACAGCATCAGCCTCCCCGTAAATCGGGCACAGAGGGAGGCGTCTGGCCGCTGGCTGACACACAACAACAGGGAAGGTGACTGTACCTGTACTTCAGTACCCAGTTGTGTGACATTTACACACACACACACACACAAAGGCTCTCCGAACAATGAGGAGCACG